GCGTTACTTTACATATTTTATTGCATAAATCAAAAAATAACTCAATTGAAAAGAAAGTAGTATAATTCATTTCCCTGGTAACAATCTCATTCAATATCTCTTCTTGTCAATTTATTCTCATAAATTCCAAATTTTTTAATTAACCTTAAAGAAAAATGGTAGAATATTTATTTTTATTAAACATTTATTCATTATATATATTGTTTTTTGTTCCCTTTCATTGTTATTACTCTTTAACAACAAACTGCTTATGTTTATTGCTTTCGTTCTTTTCTGATCATTTTTCAGAACAATTGGACTTATTTTTAAAAGGTCAAACTGATGCTATTCAAGAAGAAAATGAAGTCACTGAAGATCCGGATTTAACAATTGATAGAGATGGTAAGATGTTGCGTGCATTCAGTATATATATATATATATATATATATATATATATATATATGCGTTGTTTTTATTTTTTCATGTTCATTAAAGACGTTTAGTAAATATATTTAGCTCATAACTAACTGTACCAAAAAGCGGGTCTTTTGTTTATTATTAGTTGATTTTGCTTAGTTACCTTTTCCCATCAATTTTAATTTTAGACCATATTTTAAACTTAATTTTTTGATGACTCAGAAGATTTGTATCATCGGTTGTAGCATTTAATTGTAAAATGGCCTGTTTTTGACCAAATATTCGTGTAAATTTGATTCAGTTTCAGTCAAAATTGTTGGGTTTGCCTTGGATGAGTTAAGACTCTCATTTACCTTTATTAGATCAATTATTGCTTGAATACCTGGGTAAAGTCAAATTCTTCGCGCTTTGTCGATTCCATAATGTTATGTTTACGTCATTATGAACTTATGGTATTCACTACAGTGTTAATTGGAGATTGTGGGTACGAAAATTTAATCTGGTAGAAATTGTGAATTACACAATTTTTCGAGGTCATCGATTTCATATATGATCCTTGTTCCAAGTTGTAATAATTAAATAATCACTATACATGGTTTCTGCTTTTAGTTAAAATGACTTAAAATTAATCAGTCAACAGTTTATCGCACTGACAACCTTGATTAAATCGAGCAGATTGTGATTAGTACCTCTTGACATCCAAAACAAATAAACAGTGGAGGATAGCATGTATTGTATTAAAAATAAAAATAATCCATAACTAGTTCCTAAACTTTGTAAAATTGACGAAAGTATCAACTATCCAAACACACATTAAGTAGTAGATGATAAAACAAATTACAAGAAACACCTGTTCTAAATTACAGATTGTACTTGGGCTTACTTGATACAATTCAAGGCATAGCCACAAGTGTTTTTCTGATAAAAATTATTCTGTTTTTCTAGAATCCCGAAATTTCTTAACATTCTTAACAATTTCATTCATAAATCTAGCCAAATTTCTAATACTTGATCCTAACTAGAATACGTTATTCAATATATAAACGTTCAGTAATCATTTTATAATTTCATCCATTGAAATTAATTAACTTTCCTTGTGAATCGTTGATAATTGATTCAGCGCCGTCAATGAAGTATACTTTTACCGTTAATGAAATAATTCTGATCTACTCATTGTTTGTCTTCCGCTAGATCTTAAACATACTTTTATTTATTTATAATTAACTCATTATTACAACTCTTACTTTTCTCAGTGTTATTCCCTTCACTACATTGTTAATCTCTTTGAACTATGGTATATGTAGTGGTCAAGCACAAAGACTTAAAATACATACTTGTTTTTTTTATTCCACTCGTAATGCCTGTTGATTTCTTTGAAAAAGCAAACTATATTTTTTAAAATGTAGTACTTGGTAAATTGTACATGTTATTGTAGGCACATATTTTTCTACGTAGGTTAGTTTACTATAATGAAATTCGTTTATAGGATTGCTTTCTTGTAAAATAACTGGTATGGTAAATATCATTTTATTTTGGCTTTTTCTTTCTTTTCATAATACACACAAGTTTGATAAACAATAATTACAGACAGCTGTCTACGAAAAAAGAGAACATTAGACTAAATTAGTTGTAGAAATCATCTTGTTTTCCCTTTCTTGATATCTAACCATATTGTAATTGATGATGGTTAGTGTTATTTTTACGTGTTTTGCGTTAGATTACCAATGATTGAATAAGCTGATAAAAAAGTACAATGCTATAACTAAAGAATATTATGTTTTTTAATGTATAAATGTCAACGCCTCGATAGTTTACTATTAATATTGTTCAAGTGAAATAGAAAAATAATACACAATTGGAAACTGATTTAATATATATATTAATATGCTTAAAAATATGTTATCTGTTTATATTGAATGGGAGTGGAGTATCATGTAGAGATTATTGAATATTATTGAGAGCGCGAAACAACTTACGTTAAATAATTATTGAAAACTATGAAGCTATGGATAACTGTTTAGTATTCTTCACTTATGCTCACTCACGATCTCATTGTGGAACACACATACGATTTTCAGATTTCAGAGCTTGCACGTTACATCTAAACCACTGATCCAGTATATTGACAGCCTAGTATGATTTATTATTGGGTCATTTATGATATCGAGAGGTCTTTTCTAATTGATATGTTATTCCATTGGTTTTTTTCAACTCCTTGTAAAGCATTGCTAGTGTTACTTGTGGGTTTAGGAATATATTGTGAATGCAATTGTTTTTTGCAATTTTAATTAAAAAGACCTCTTTCATTAATTCTATTTCTCGTATCTTAGTTTAATTATTCTTTGGAATTTATCAGTGGATTTGCATATTTATAAACATATTGTTTTTTTAAAAACTATCACTTAGATTTATGTATAATCATGTTTATTTATAGATGGTGATGGATGCTCGGCGAATAAAGCAAATAATGGCGAGTTCACAGCGACCACTACTACTACTGGCTCCGGTGGTGGGGGTGAAACTGTAATATCTCTGAATGCAACACCTACCCCACAGTTGGTTAGTTGTACTTCCAGTGCTGAATTGAAAAGACTACAGTTAAAGAAGGTTTGTGTTAATAACATGATGATTATTTGTTTTCGTCTCTATATTAACTTTGACGTTATCTTTGTTCTTATTTATACTCGTTAATGTTTATCCTTTTTTTATTTACAAATCTTCCTTGAGTTGTCCTTTGGAAACTCCATCATCCTTCCAATCCTGTTATTATTCCGATAGGCCTCTGTTTTCCTTCATTTCTTTATTTCAATCTTCTTGTAAGCATTCCACTTCTAATTACTGTTACTTACTACTTATATCTGTCTGCGTAAGTAACGCACACCACAATAGTAGTATTTGTTGTTGTTTTTTCAGCTGTTTTGACGGATTCGATATGACTTTAAATTGTCATTAAGTTAGATTGTAAATATTTTCTAGTTTATGATTCAGTCAGTCAGTTACAACGTAGGACCAGGCACATATATTCATCGGTATAAGTTGCCATACCTCATTAGCATAGCAAGATGAACACCGGATGCATAGAAATAGTTAATTCAATGGTGGTAATATATAAAAGAAAGATTGCATATAAGGATATAGTACAGGAAGAAAGAATTAGTTGATAAAAAGAACGATATGAAGACAATGTACAATATATATTTATAAATATAGATAGTTTTTATTCGATTTTTTATCCTTTTTATTGATCTTACGTTAATAATAATCATAATGATTGTTATCGAAATTACTGATCGAACATTGCTGGTGGTCAATGTACTAATGATACATGTTTACCTTATTCATGGATCTGATACAAAACTCATATTTATGGATTATCATTGATTGACACATCTATCTCTCCAATACAGGAGGAGGTAAGTTATGCTTGTATTTGAATATTCATTGAATATCTGTTATTATTATTACCAACATGATATTGTTGTTATTTGTTCAGTTTGATAGCTTTGATAAATATAACAAATTGGATTGCTATTTAGTTAGCTTCCCTGAAAATTCCAATTTTCCCAATTTGTCCGTTATAGCTTCAATCAATCAGATATACTTTTTAAAATTACTATTCTAAGGTATATTATTGGCATGTTAGAAAGTATATATCAAACAAATCACAGTGTTTGTGGAATAATGTTATTTATTTTGTATTTTGTACGAGATTTTTTAATAAGTTAATCTCAATTAGTAATATAATATCGGTTTTAGTGTTTCTTTTTTTAAAGCATATTTGAAATACTATTGTAGATCGTGTTTTTCTGAGACGGCATGACATTTTCTACTTCGTTTAACCATAATTTATGTTTTTATCATATTTTTCGTTGTGAAAAAGTTTTGTATGATCAAGGTCCATGATGAGTGAACCCTGAATGTAGAAGAAATGTATTAGTTGTTAGTATTTGATCATAAGTGTTTTTAGAATTCTGTTGGCTAAACCAGCTTTAATTTAGCTACCGGTGATAAGTACTAGCGAATCAGTTATTAATGTTGTCAACTTTAATTTACTTAAGTGGCTGGAACACTTTTTACATATATCATTGACAAACTATTCTAATATTTTATGCTTAATGCAATACGATGAGATTAAACACACATAGACAAACATAGGTGTTATTAGTGAAAACAAAAACTGGAAGGCTTCTTACTTAGCATAGTACATAAGAAATTGCAAGATTTTCCTATCAATTATGTGATTCATTAGTTGTATATCTATAGTATTTTATCTTGAAAACAGGCTTACTATATCAGTTTTATCAGTTATCGATACTTTCTCCTCGCCAACTGGGAATTTTTTTCTGGTCAATTTTGGGTCGTACTGTTTATGTGAGATTTGGTGATGTTGCGTAGCCACCTAAATCAAATTTGATCAAGTAAACCAGTTCAAATTTTCGAGTAACTTGTTACTAACTGATTACTTCATGCGTTAAATCAATTTTTGCAAACGAGGAATCAACTGTATGACTTGCGCATTACTCTTATATTATTATTATTAGTCAGAATCTAGTATCAACATCCTACTTAGCTATGACACAGCCTGTTTTGAAACATTCGTCATCAGACTAATGTCTCATTGAATATTACTTACAGTGCAGTTATTATGATAGCTTGTTTTTTCATTTAATATAGGGAAATTTAACAGCTGAAGAAGAACAAATAATGATGGCTCATTATCATTATACTGGTGCAACAAGTAGTATACACCCATTATTATCATCGTTTGTTAATTATGCACAACCTGTAAAATTTCAAGGATTTGATGTCGCAGAAGGTAAGTGGGGAAACATTGATTTCAGTCATATTGTTATTTTATGTAAAGTTTTTTATAGATGTGCAGTTGGTTAGTGAAAAAGATGAATTATAAATAAGCATTTTTATCGTGTGTTCTAGTTTCCAATATTCATAGTCTGGTCTTAATAAGATCATCATTAAAAAACAAGAAAAACCAGTTAGCTGTTTCGAAAACTTAACAGTCTAGTCCAATGAGCCAAGTAAATCGTTGACCGGCGGAGTTCACTCATATTGGTTGTGATGCAGTTATCCCCCGCAAACAATGGAAGATAGTCGTGAAAAATCATGAAACGATCGAAATTTGATATGTGTACTATTAGATGTTAAATCTGTGATTTAGAGTTCATCACAAGATCTGAACGTCATGAGCTCTTTTTTTCAATCTGGTCGTCAATATGTACTTCAGAGTAGTCCCTTTGAAAATTTCATAATTTCAAAACACCGCTGTACTTATAATATTTTCGATTATTGACAGCTTGAAATTTTTTTACTTGCAACAAAATATTGAATTTCTTTTTCATGATATTCATATTGTATAGTATAATTTCACTGACCTACAAACTAGTGCTTACCAGTTATTCTGTACTTTAAAAATAATTGTAACATAATTATATATTCTGCTTTTTCTGAATGAGTATTGTGAAGCTGTTTAAGGAGTAATATAATTAAATTGTATTACTCAAAATTAAGCTTACAATGTACTGATTAGAGTTAGCAGTTATCAGTAAATCAATTATTATAAATCTAAGGGATTATTACAAATTCTTAGCCGTATTATCTAACAACTCCAACCATTGTTTTATGATATATTTACTCTGACTGTAGCCTAGTAGTCTATAGTTACTCAAACAACACAATCCAAAAGAAACTGACCATATTGATATTTATTTTAGTAGGTCCATATAATTATATATATATTGCATAATATCTAACTTATTGTTTTGTAAATAATTCAATGATATACTGACTATATGATTGATTATTATATTACATTTTCATTTATGTTAAAGTGGATAGTTTAAGATAAATTGTTTTTACAAAATGTGAAAATAATTTATGATTGTTTTAGAGAATTGAAAAAAATATTCTAAAATTAATGAATTTTCTTGTTGTTGCTGTTATTTTATTTATATCTACATTAAATCAGGTGGATAATAGAGGAATAGGTTTTTTTCTTTTTGTTTCAAAATGTTTATCCCTTATTATTATTATTATTATTATTCAAACAAAATACATCAATTCTTTTTCATTTGTTTGAAATATAATCATTACGTTTCCACTTGGGCTAGTGGAGATTATTGAATTTCATTGGTATCATAAATCGATCTAAGTTAGACCACAGTTAAAAACCTGGAAGCACTGGGCACCTGTTTCGTCCCAGCATGGGACTCCGTAACCGTGCGCATTCAGGGTCTCACATGAGCTACCTGAACCCATGACCTTCGGTCTCACGCATGAACGCTTGACCTCTATCATCTAACGGTGTTAATGTTATCATTATTCACTGTTGCTTTTAGAATTAGCATAAGAAACCAGTTACATAATCTATTATTAGTAATTTATTCTTAAGTTTGTAATTAAAATGCAATGAACAGAGTACCATTGAAGAGATATATTACAGTAATGTGATGTAGCTGAATATTGGCTGGTCACAAAACTATACTGTTGACGTAATTGTTTAATTAAATTGATGTTAGGAATGGTTGACAGTTGGCTGGTAGTATTGGCTTCTGTTTTATCCTACGGTCAGTCAAATATCACGTGGCAATATCGCCAATCATCCTTCTCTGTATGAATCGTATATTTCAGACATACCTGGTTTATAAACAAGCAGATCAGACTGCATCACACCATGAAATGAAAAATAATAATTATATAAGATCAAGTAGAATGTAGCTGTGACTGTAGGAGACTGTAACTAATAGATTGGAAATAAATTACGAAAGGAAAATTATATAACAGTAACCAACGGGTCAAATAAAAGCAATTAGAATATATATATATATATATATATATATATATATATATATATATATATATATATATATATATATATAAACTAGTTACTTATTAACTATCCAATAAGAATGTACGTAATAGTAGTCCATAAATGATTCCTAGCTGTAAGCATTCATTCTTCGTTCGTATATAACAGTTTCTCCGTTTAACAATGTAATACACTTTTATATAAAGTTGTAGACACAAAAATAAGTGTGTTTTTGTATATCAGTTGGCGAATGAACAGTTGTAGGGTTTAGTAACTAATAAGCCATTGAATACCCCAATGAAATTATCACGTTCCAATCTTCCCTAGTCCTGTCATACATCTTCATTTTGTAGTAACTGCTAGTCATTCTTCTTGTAATCGTAGTAATAGCAGAAGTGTACTGGGCTGATCGTTATGTTGAAGTTTAAAGTATTCGTTCTGATAACGTGTCCCCGGGGAATTCTATATCTCTATCCCAGCTTTCTTAACTTCTGTGAATGATTTATTTTGTTTTTATAAAATAATTTCTTTTAAATTTATTTTTAAATATATATATCTATATCTGTTTGGATAAATATTTACAGATTGTTGTTACTTTAGTTCAGTTTAAAGAACAATAACAAACTATCCATTTCAACACATCATATAGTTTCTTTTCTTCCAGTTTGTTTATCGGTTTATAGTTATATAGAAAAGAAGATAATTTTCTTCACATTCATTCGCTTACTAACCAAACCTTTTCCTTCATACCAAATGCAATGCGTTTTCACTTTTTAACTATTTGATTTGAAAATACTACTAAACGGAAACAATTTGGTGTTGTGACAGCGTTCCGTTTTCTTTTTTCTCTCTAAACAACCACTTATATTTCGCATTACTATCCTAGTTTTCTATTTTATTGATGTGCTAATCTTTGTAAAATTATTTGTTGCAATTTTTCATTGTTGAGAATAGTAGGAGGATTTTTATCTGTTAAAATGATAGTTCTATGTACCTGTGTAGTGAGCGGGAATTCAGATGGGGACTACCAAATGTATTTTAATACAAAAGTATAGAGTTTTTTGGTAAAAAGTAAAAACCATACGTTCAATACTTCATGTGCAAATTCTCCATCAATTATCTTAAGCTCCACCGTTCTTGTACTGTCATAGCAATTACTCTATGTCCCTGTTATATTCGATTCCATCTTTCCAACCTTCTGCTACCAGGTATTCCTCTTCTGATTGGTGCTATATACTAATCATGTCAACATAAGTTGCATACATCACACCTGTATGTGTGTGTGAGGATTTTCACATTTGGAAAATTATCGTTATTAAAAATTGTGATAAATTTGATTTCTGGTAGTTGTAAACTATTTTTTCCAAGGAATTGAGAAATCTTTTTGAAATATGAGGAAATACTGTATTCATTGTTCATGAAAGGTGTGTCGTAATTGTCGGGACAAAGTGAATAATTACGTCATATGGTGGCAAATGAGAAAAATACAATGGTTTTTCTATTTAACTTGAAGGGTTTAATTCCCTGACTAAATGTCCTAAAAGCACGAAGTAGTACGAAGAAATTTCCTCGTTAGGAATCAAAGTTAACGGTTTAACTAAGCATTGAGAATTAGTGAATGAGACGAAACGTATACACATAAGTATTATGTCAAAAAGCACTCGAGTACGAAAATGAACAATTAATGATTAGTATAGGGGTCCTGTAGAAATCGTCAATTTATTTTAGTTCACGTCACTTGTTGTTCTTACTAGGATGGAACAGCTGGTTTTCAATAGTCGTCTAACAAAGATCAGTCCATGATATCAATCAAGAATATGAATAATAACTATTAAATTAAGCTCTTAGCTGTGGAACGTTTGTAAAAAGAATTTTCTGTAGAAAACAGAAAGTTTCTGAAAATATGTTTTCATGTGAGGGATATATGAAGTCGTATTGTTCTAGTAATATAGAAGTGTGTACTATTTTGCATATGTGTGTATTTTGGTGTTTTAATGAACCAGTTATTCGCAGGTTACCTTAAATAAAATGTTTAGCTGTACGATGAATCGTATCAGTTAATATTTTCATCTACATATGGTATGTTACTTCATATATTCACTTGTTTTTCTACACTGAAACTGATTACTATCATTACAAGCTATAGTTATCGAATGTGTTGCATTGTGAACACTTGTGCTAGATGTTTTCAATGAACATAAATATTCACTTTAAAACAGTTGATGGTACACCTAATTACCGTAATCACAAAATTGAAATAGTATACTCTTGTTTTTTGGAAACTTAGTGGTATGGCTCAAAATGGTTCAAAAGTGTCGTAAATTCATTCACTCTTTATCTTTCTATCTTGAATTCTAGTATCCTTTCATGCATACTTTTCCATCTTCACACATACAATACACGCGGCTCAGTCTTAATTTTTATCATTGCCACAACAATACATCAAGCTATTTTTATTATTTTCATCTAATCATGTTCAGAAAACATGGTATCTTGAGTTAATCTGCATCTATATTAAGTACTATGTTGCTTATGTTTATCTCTGTATTCTTAATCTTAATATTTAAAGTCGGATATTGTAATTTGTATAAATTAAATGTTATGCGATGAATATTTTCAAAATTAACAGCAAATGTATTTTAATCACTATATAACAACCAGTGCAATACATTGAAAATTTATCACTTACTGAAATCAACATTGGTGAATGTTTACACATCATAAATAAATATAATTTAAATGAAAAGTTCATTATTTCACTTAACATACCAAGTTCATTAAATTGATTTTGCATAAAATTCTAAACTTATAATTCTAAAACGAGCTATCATACTCTCTATGAGATAATAAATTTCTCAACCTTACCCATTAAATGATCACAGATACTTATTATTAAAAAGTCCTATACTATAACGAAACAATCCTCGAGTAGTTTTTTGATACTTGCTATGTGTCTAACTGAAGCGACCCCGTAACATAAAATACTTATTGACTTAATTTGATCGTCAATTCAATGTTCATCTTATTTTTCAATGACCCCTCTTTACCTAATTTAAATTACACAAACATATTACTTGAATATAGTTACTAGTAGGAAATGAATAATTTTTTTTAATTTCAGTTTCATATTTTAACCTTGATATAATATTTTGACTGAGTATATACTTTAATTATTTTCTTTATTCTTACATAAATTGTATACATATTCAACTTCACTTACTTGTTTAGACGAGAATATTCATCATCATATGTCTTCATTCAGTGAAACAGTGGCTTTGGGATTGTTAAAGAATCAAGCGATAGAATTTGTCAAGTATCCTATTTACTTGATAAGAAAACAATTTTATGTCATTTATGTCATTTTATTTTGTTTTGAAAACAAAAGTTTATCGAGTGTTTTTATAGTATTTCTGTTAATATTTGCACATATCTACGTTGTTATTTGTAAGGTTTTATTTTAGAAATGCATGTTATATGGTTATCTATTATTTATCGGAATGTTTCAACTAATTTTAATAACAAGATGTGTATGTGTACCTTGGAGAACATTTATTGGTATTAATGTTACAGGCCATTGTCTCATATGTTTAAATGTATCAAATGTACTTCTGTGTATTTGTGTATTTATTTACCGTCAGTATATATTTAGATAGTTTTATTTATTTATCCTACAGACGTAAACTTGAGAAAAAAAAGACATTGAAATACCTTTAATATTAACATTCAGTATGACTTTTAGGACAAATATTGTTTCTTTTTTCTCCAGTGATCCACACATTTTACTAACATACTGTCTTATTTGATATTATATTTGGTAATTACATTATATTATCTGAAGAAGACTTCATATCATAAGTTATTAATAAAAGCCAGAGGCTAAATGAATCCGTCTGCTAAATTTCATACATATCAATGTCGATCTAAGGCATTTGTATAAGTAGTTATTACAACTTTTATACTAATTACGAAGTTCGCCATCTGTCACAGTAAAACAAATATATTATTTCAAATTTATTAGCAAATGGTAATAATCTATTTTCATTTTTGTAATGACATTTAGCAACTAAATCGTCTTTTTCATTTAGACGTTTTCTAAAGTAAAAGAGTTAGATAAATCTAATTATATTGTTCGTTGGAAGCTATACAAAAATAGTTTCAAATCTAGGCATTATAATAGTTGAAATTTACCTTGCCTGGAATACTGAAATGGTAACGTTTGTGACTGTGATGCTGAATAACGAGTGCATTACCTGTTTCCTTAGCTTTAAGCCATTCTACTGATTACCTCTTATCATCTAACATTCAAACGTAATGCATCATACCTTGATACATTAATATTAGTGATGAAGTTGTCATTGATTAGTGAAATTAGATCAAGATTACAATGTAGGTAAATTTAACATTAGTTGTTACTCAGTAATAAGTCAATGTGAAATCCAGTGATTTCGCAAATAAATGAATTACTTTAGTTATGTCAAAAATATTTCATAAAAGTCTATTATATAGTGATCATAACTGAGTATTAATATTTTAGGAAATAAAATTCAGTTAGGTCGTTATTTTAAAGATAGTACAATGTTATATTTGTTTGAATATTTAAATAATCCGTTTGACGTTGATAAAAAAGAAGGGGGAATTTGAATATTATTTGGTTTTATGCATCATTTCATTTACGTAATAATGATAAGTAATTGATTTGACTGATTTTTTTCCTCATCACTCAATACCTATTACTAATATATACCTAATTTCCAGTTGACTTGTAATCTACTTTAAATACTCCATCATTATCCGTTCATGGGAATATTATGTAATCTAATAAAATTGGTTAATAGTAGTAGTTTGTTCAATTTACTAAATGATAACGTTTTACTGTTATCATTATATATAGCATAAAATTGTTATGTTGTGCAGACTTTACTTAAGTAATCCATGTACACATTTATTAATGCAATTCATTGAATTGTTTCGTACAATTTACTTACAGCATGCATATATGTCGTATATACATACATGTATTTTAGATGATTTAGTTACTATTATTTGTTTTGTCTTTCTCATATCTTGTAGCATGTATTATTATATACTAACAGTTGTATTGTGTTTCTGGTCTCTATTTGTTGTAGTTCGTGTTCGAATTGTTTTTTCTTTTCTGTTTTCTTTACATTCGTTCAGCTAGTAATATAAGTCATCATATGTCTTCATTCAATGAAAGTATCGCATTGGGCCTGATCAAGAAACATTGTATTGCATTTGTCAAGTACCCCCTTTTTTTATCTTTCGTAATGCCGTGCATTTTTATTTAATATTGTTTCAACATTCATCATTTTCATGTTGTATTGCTAGCTGTGCTTTTTTCCAATGCATGTGGATTAGTTAGATTTTGTTCATTTGAATTTGTGTTTTTTTTTAAAAGCATCTATGTTTTGCAATAATATTCAATGTCTTTTTCTTTTGCTAAATCTCCTATTAATTTCAACCTTAACATTGACTATTATAATGAAAATAAACAGTTATAATAAACGTCAAATGAGTAGAATTTATCCTAGAGGAAATCGTGTCGATTCAAGCAATTACATGCCACAAGTAAGTCAATTCGAAGTAATTTCTTTTTTTTCAAATATCAAAATTTCATAAGTTTTACTGTATTATGATGAGCTTTTTATTGTATTATGTTTTGTCTATTGAGATATGTGCTTAACTTAACTACTTATACAGCCAATATTTTCATAGACACCAATGTAGGTTTTATAAATCTATCTCGTTTATTTTTACCTTTGATTCCTGTATCAGTAGATTAAATCAATTTAGTTATCTAAACTTCTACAATGTAGATTAGATTATGGTATAAACCACCCAGAATATTTTAACTATAAGGGTAAATGATGTGAAAGGAATAATTACTGGCTAAACATTTCGAAATCTATTTTAAATTACAAATAATAAGGTTAGTTAATGCTTACTATCCCTTAGCTTAGTCATCATGACAGAAACTCTCAAATTTAGCCAAGAAGAATCGTCCATGAAGGGCTTTCGTACCTTGTTCCATCTCAACAGACCAGCTGGTATATGTGTACTGAACTGGGTAACCACACTAACTGATCTCTCATATAGAGGAATATAAGTATCTCCAGTGCGTAATATGAACAACTATACTTCTCAGATAATAATCAATGTCAAATTATGTTCATTTATTCAGCGTTAATTCGATTTTCATCTCTTATTACTAATAATAATATGAATATGAATAAGTTGGTCCTTCCCTTTTTTCATCCATTCAGTTTATTCATCTTCTCTGCTCTTTTTTCTATTCAAAACCTTTTTTTTACTGATAAATGATGACCTCACATTTTTCTTTTAATGCAATCTATTAAGCGAATTAAAGTAGAGAGGAAAATTGATTACCAGTGTTATGATCAGTTGTTGTTGTTGTCGTCGTCGTGAAATTTAACCTAATTCAATGATCTTCTCTCTCGTTGAATTAAAAATCTCGCTATCATTTCTCTTTCCTCCCTTCTCCGTTCATTGTCTTTTTTCTAGTGTGTATGTATTTATATGTATGTAAACTGATAACCTTGAGAAAGGTGAAAAAACAATTCATGTAGAATTAATTTATCATTAATTGAATAAATATGTTATGAACTATGTTGATTGATAACTGGGTTATTTTAAATATTTGCATAGATATTTTACTTGGAAGTTACAAAATATGTATTTTTCTGATTTATTTCTAATATTATCATACTTTTATAAAGATAATTCATTTTGCAATGATCGTCTGTTGGTTATCGATGTGAGCATATTTTTTTTCGGTATTTTTCGACACTCGGTTGAGTTATTGAATTTTGTGAAACTTTTACTGCTGATTCACTTCGGATAAAAATAAACTTCTTTTAATTTTTCTCCACAAACAGTAAATCAATTTGTATGGATGACATCAATTGTGGTTGGTTGTTTACATAGGTTTTTGTTGTTATTGTGTTTTGTTGTGGATAAAGATACAATTATATTTTGGGGCAGACGTTAATTGTAGAATGTAGTACATGTGTTTATTCCAATTGCTCTTCTGCTGACTGTATCAGTATGTTGGTTTAATGTTCTTACTCAGCCTTGTGCTTACCATTTCATGCACATGACTACAATACTGAGTTATGATACTTGACATACATCGTTAATTATTCGAACATGATTCAAGTGATAAGTCGATAAATACGAAACCTCTAACGTCTTTGTTTGATTATTTGTACATGTAGAACTGTACTACACTCTGTTGAATAATAATAATAATCAACAAAATTACTGCAAGCCAATAAACAAATGAATAATTCGTATGTTTAAAAACAGCATAAGGAAGCAAATAGAAAACCTTCGATTTACTATTCTGTTATCTTATTTTCTATAGTAAGCAACTTATTGAATAAAATATCTTTTAGAGAGCAAGAACAAAGATTGGTGCTTGCTCTCTTTAAGATAATAAAGGGAACTTTGTGTATGAAAATAACTTTTACTATTGTCAGTTAACATTTGCCATCAGTAAATCATGATTAAGTTGAAATTAATAACTTGCGTGTCTTTTTCGCCCAGGTCAAACATTCGAAAATCTTTTTTCGTAATTATCATCATAATGATAAGGATTCAGAACAACACACTAATTATAACAACAACAACCATAGTTTGTAATTTTTCTATTACCTATCCATTACATTAAAAATAAGGCTGATTTTATTATTCCATATGATCATATAAGATATACTGATGGATCAATTTTAGTGTCCGCTGTCTGAGTCCATAATGAACAACGATGAATCAAGCAAAAAACACTAGTCTCCTGTTTAATTATTATCCTTAGGCCAACTTCTTTAGGCAAAGGCTATGATAAAAGCCAATGATGAGTTTAATTGCATGGATTTTAAGCAAGTATGCTAACTTTCGTTACAAAAACAGTGTGCTTCACACGATGACGTGTTGTATGAATAACCGAAATTTAATTGACGTTGGTTAATAGGAGGATATTGGTTTTAAGCTTATTCGTTATATACGCTTCCTATACGTAAATACTCATAAGTTATTTCAACGGTTTGAATGAAGTTCTTTGGATTACAATTATCTTAGGAAATATCACCCTCCAGATATCCTTTGATCATACTATAGTATACTTTTAACATCTATTTTAAACGTACTTCCGGCATTTTATTGTTCTTTTATAAATTATGATAACTGCCTAAACCATCTACTGAATTCATGAAACATGAATGATTAACTACTTTTAACAAGTGTAATTTTAAAAAACTTGTTGTTATTTATACTTTACATAGTTTAAAGCATTTGACATAAAACCGTGGACTTTAATTTCATGCTGTTTGACGCTCGTCATCAAGGGATACCTGAAAACTTCAGGTTGTTGATGTCCCTTGATATGTTTGAACACTCATCTCGCAGCGAGGTGTTAGTGCTGAGATTGTCAAGCCAAGACTAATCTCTAGTAGGACTGAAGCATTTAGAACTAACTGAATAATGACTAATATCATGTTTACATTTTAAAATGTGTATATTCAACAAATGTATTTAATCAAAACCTACTGTTTTTTTTAGAATGTTTGAGGAATGTGCTCTCGGTCAACCAATATTTTGAAATATCAATTATTATTATTATTATCTTATGACGCTTCATTTCTTTAATATTTACTTTCTTAAACGATCGAAAATCGGCTTGAAGTGTCATATAACTGTTAATTAAAGTATTTATTTCTGTCTTCTCTTCATTGCCTCTATGATATTCCACTTCATTTACTGGTTAACGTAATCGTTATTTCCTCCAAAAATATTCCGTATCACTTATTCTTTTGTGTATGCTTGTGTTTTAATTACCATGACAGATATTTTGGAATGCTGGTTGCCAAATGGTTGCGTTGAATTTCCAAACTCCTGATTTAGCCATGCAGTTGAACCAAGGGAAGTTCGAATACAATGGTAATTGTGGGTAAGTTATTTTACCTATTTTCTTCATTTTTCCTCATGTCTATTTTTATGGTATGGTTTCTTCCCGATTTATAACTCAGACGTATTTTGCTATTCTTCATGGTAAATATTGTTCTAAGTGTACATAAGCGTCAATGGAATACCCTGTTTTCATAAAGACTTTGTCGTTGAACATTTTTAATACTCGATTATGGATTAGTACATCGTAGATTATAATCCAACTCCATTAATTGTTTTTCTAAAACAACTGACTAAGTCTCATTAACTTTCATGTAGTAAATATTGACTCAATGACAAATGAAGGAAATTGTAATTGATTATCATTTTAGACTAAACTGTATGGATGATCATAGAGGGACCAGTCTCATTCATTGTATTGTGCCTTCCCGCGGAAATATTTAGTAAAAGGCGAAAGAGTTATTCACAAATAAGGAGACGTCAATCTCACATATGCTTACTTACTTACTTACACCTGTTACTCCTCGTGAAGGAGCATAGGTCGCTCACCAGCATTCTCCATCCAACCCTGTCCTGGGCAATACTTTCCAGCTCCTTCCAGTTGTAATTCATCCTTTTCATATCTGCTTCTATTATCCGACGTAATGTGTTCTTTGGCCTTCCTCTTTTCCGCTTCCCTTCAGGATTCCAAGTTAGGGCTTGCCTCGTGATGCAGTTTGACGATTTGCGTAATGTATGTCCTATCCATTTCCATCGTCTTTTCCTAATTTCCTCTTCAGCTGGAAGTTGGTTTGTTCTCTCCCACATAAGGCTATTGCTGATGGTATCCGGCCAATGGATGTTGAGTATCTTGCGTAGACAGCTATTTATAAATACTTGTACTTTCTTGATTGTGGTTGTTGTAGTTCTCCAAGTTTCAGCTCCATACAGTAGAATTGCCTTGACGTTCGTATTGAAGATTCTCACTTTGATATTGGTTGAAAGTTGTTTTGAGTCCCATATGTTCTTCAATTGTAGGAATGCGGCCCTTGCTTTGCCAATCCTCGCCTTTACATCTGCATCTGAACCTCCATGTCTATCGACGATGCTTCCCAGATATGTGAAGGATTCTACATCTTCCAGAGTTTCGCCATCAAGAGTGATTGGATTGCTGTTCTCCGCTTTGAATTTGAGGACCTTCGTTTTCCCTTTGTGTATGCTGAGGCCTACTGATGCAGAGACTGCTGCTACTCTGTCGAATGCCTTTTCATAATCAATGAAGTTGATGTACAGTGACGAGTTCCACTCAACTGATTGTTCGACGATGATCCGTAGTGTTGCAATTTGGTCTGTGCACGACCGATCCTTTCGGAATCCAGCTTGTTGATCTCGAAGTTGGGCATCTACTGCATCCTTCATCCGGTTCAGCAACACTCTGTTGAAGACTTTCCCTGGTATTGACAGTAGTGTAATGCCTCTGTAGTTTTCACATTTGCACAGATCTCCTTTCTTTGGAATCTTGACGAGGTGCCCTTCTTTCCAGTCCATCGGCACTTGTTCCTCCTCCCAAATCTTTTTGAATAGAAAGTGAAGCATATTTGTAGTTATTTCGATGTCTGACTTCAGTGCTTCAGCTGGTATGTTGTCGATCCCGCTGCTTTCCCGTTCTTGATTTGTTTGATGGCCATTCTGATTTTTTCCTTCGTTGGTGGGTTGACGTCTATTGGAAGATCTGTGTGTGTTGCTTCGATGTCCGGTGGATTCACTGGAGCCGGCATATTCAAAAGTTCCTCGAAGTACTCTACCCATCTGTTCCGCTGTTTTTGAGTTTCAGTGATTGGCCTGCCTTCTTTGTCTTTGACCGGTCTCTCTGGTTGACTGTATTTTCCTGCTAGTTTCTTCGTTGTATCGTAAGGCTGTTTCATATTTCCTTCTCTTGCTGCTTTTTCTGCCGTCGTTGCTAATTCTTCCACGTACTTCTTCTTGTCGGTTCTAATGCTCCTCTTCGCCTGCTTGTTTGCTTCTGTGTATTCAGCTTGTGCTTGGACTTTCTCTGCTCGTGTTCGGCTGTTGTTTATTGCTGCCTTCTTGTTCTTCCTTTCTTTGATCTTGTCCAGTGTTTCTGTAGAGATCCATTCCTTATGATGGTATTTCTTTAGACCCAGAACCTCTTGACACGTTGAAGTTAATGCTTCCTTGATACCTTTCCAGTTGTCCTCCATAGTAGTTTCTTCTTCCTTCAGTAGATCTGGTAACGCTTGGAACCTGTTGTTGAGAGCTATCTTGAATTCATTGAGTTTGACAGTATCTCGAAGGAAGGCTGTATTGAAGCTTTGTAGTGCTGTTTGTCCAGTCGTCCAGTTCTTTTTTAGCTTCAGTTTTAAATTGGCTACAACTAGATGGTGATCTGAAGCTATGTCAGCACTTCTCCTGGTTTTCACATCTTCCATCGTCCTTCGGAATTTTTTGTTGATGCAAATATGATCTATTTGGTTCTCTGTAGTGTGGTCCGGTGAGATCCATGTAGCTTTGTAGATACGTTTGTGTGGAAATATTGTGCCTCCTATGACTAATTTGTTGAATGCACACAAATTTGCAAATCTTTCTCCATTTTCGTTCCTCTCTCCCAGTCCATGTCGTCCCATAATATCTTCATATCCAGTGTTGTCTGTTCCGACCTTGGCATTTAGATCTCCTATCAGAATGGTGAGGTCCTTTCTTGAGCATTTCTCTATAATTGACTGCAGCCGCTCGTAGAATTGATCTTTAATGTCGTCGTTGCTATCATTGGTGGGTGCATAACATTGGATAATATTCATTAAGATCCCCTCCTTCTTTGTTTTGAATGATGCTTTGATGATTCTGGATCCGTGGGATTCCCATCCTACAAGTGCATTTCGTGCTACTTTGGACAGCATTAGAGCAACTCCCTGAGTGTGTGGAGCATTGTCCTCTTCGTGACCGGAGTATAGCAGCATCTCTCCCGTAGCTAGCCTTTTCTGTCCAGCTTGGGTCCAGTGGGTTTCGCTGATTCCCAGTACTGCCAAGTTGTATCTCCTCATTTCCGTTGCTATTTGGCTGGTCTTCCCGGTTTCCCACATTGTTCTAACGTTCCATGTACCTATAAAAATTTTTGCTCTGGTTGTTAGAAGGGGCATCGGCCTCGTGGCTTCCGAAGGAACTCGGCTTTCACCATGAAGCGTCATAATTCTTCTAAATGAAGACCTTCTAACTCTCAGGGCAGAGTTAAAATGGTTTGAATTATTTTTTCTGGTAAGCGTTTTTTTAGCGAGTTAGTTTTCTACGGGATGGGGACGCTAACCCCATGCCCAACCCTCCTCCTTTAGCCGGGCTTGGGACCGGCAGTAACTCTAGAAGAGCTACAGGCGGAGTTCTCACATATGCTAAGTAAATTCAAAAAACTAACTGATTAAGTATCTGGATTCTAACGAAAATTATGGTGAGTTTATGTCGTGTTTAACTAATTTAGAGTGAAAATTCATTTGTCAAAAAAATATTCATAAGGCATTATTCTTTATAGTACTTGGCATACCAAACAATTGCTTGTTTGTATAAGCTTATGTGTGTCCGCCTTCATTTATACATGACACTTGTACAATGGTTACACTAGATTAAGCAACTGATTAAACGGTTGTATTTATTCATCCACATATCGTCAGTGAAGTAATATGTTCTGGGACTTTGTGGCTAGGTATTTCATATATTTTATTTCTTTGCGTAACGTCATTATTCTTTCTTTTATTTACATGGTTTTTTAAATATCTTCATTAACTATAAACCCATTTTTATGCAATTATTTGATGTTTTCCAAATATGTATGGTTATTTGAAAGTTACCTGAGAATAGGCTATACAATTTGAAAACTCTTTATGCTATCATTGCACATAATTTGAATATTTATTCTCAGCCAATATATTTCTTTTCTTATTGGTTAAGGGGTTTTAATTTTTTTCCTTTGATGATACTGATGACAACATTTTATTAGTTCCTTAAAGGCAATATAGACTTCTTAATCAAATGTCTCGGTATTATCTACAGTCATTAGTTGATTAGTGACTATCAGTAGGATTCAGAAAACTTATTTTGTACTATTTTAAATTTATCATGTGCATGTAATTACATCGTGACGTATAGATCTACTGGAATAACTCTCTGTTGTGTAAAGCCATTGTGTACTGGGTTCAATTATCAATGTTAATTTCAACAATGGGCTGCAAATACATAGGGCTAGCTACTCTTGAAGATATAACCAAACGAGCTGATGTATTTGCTTTTTTTATTAGTATTTTATTCCAAAATAAATTGTTTATTAATCATTGACGCAGAAAAGAAATTATTTCTATCACTATATATTTATTAATTATTATAATAGTGAAAACTTTGACAAATGGTCACGTTCAACAACACAGTTGTCAATATTAGTTCCATATATATGGTGTCAGCGCATTATATATATAACGTTACAAATGGAACTGGCGCAATAGATGTGTTTATTTTTTGTATGTGATAGCACAATAATAAGTTTTCAATTTTCTAGAAATCATGAACAGAGGATCTGTAAATCTTCCTTCTTCGTCGTACGTTGTTAGCATTCTGTTTACACGAGAGAAAAAAACAGTTTCTGTTCGATAGTATCTTAGCCGATAATTTTTTAGGGTTTGAAATAATAGATATTAGGCTTGCGTCACACCTGTAGGGGATGTTTGTATATGTATGTGAAATTATGAATGCACTTTTGAATCGCAATCCAAATGATTTATCTAACAATTATCATAACGTTCCGAAGTAGTTTAGGTACGTGTCCAGTAAATGTATCTTTCATAAACAACAATTTTTTACCGATAAATATCAAGAATTTCAAATGCATTAAGATTGTAATACATCTTTTATAAACATGATAACATTTGAATGCTTCCCAAAAACGAACATGCTTTAATTTCTTAAAATATTTTTAGTTTATTTCCTATAGTTACATAATCTGACAAATTTTATTGGTAATATATCTGGCTATTGAATACTTCCTACTTATTTACTAGCCGCCTTTTGTATCACCTAAATACTCCTAGGTTTAAGCCCCAATACGGTAGACCTAAAATGTGAATTAAGAATAGATGCTTTACTTCAAGCTTTTTTTATATAGAGAAAACAATATTAACTATGGGTTTATTGATAAGATTTAAACTGTAAACAAGATCCTGAAAATATGCCATATATATATAAAGTACTGGTTCTGTCAGGAAATGTGAACAGGGAATAATCAAGACGACGTAATAGAACGATTATAATGTTATATTACGTAATATGAATAATAACAATATACTTAATAGGTTAGTAACGAATTATAACGTGAATGTAGTAAGATAATTAAGGTGTTTTTATTACAAAAATTATAGGTAATTTAGGGTTATAGAGATGAGAAATAAACGAAGTGATATCTTGAGCAACTACGAATAAAATAATGAGAATATGAGACATAAGTAAAAGGAGAAATTCAGTAATAATAATGGTAAATTAAGGCCAAGGTAGCGGTAAAAATAGGCTGTACTTATTTTGTATGCATAGTTCTGGCTTGAGCTCATGGATGGTAAGAGCTTCGACTAATTTTAGGAGTTGGATACGAAGGTCATGTCTTATGTTAATAGTATTTAAATGACACGAGTGATGCTAATGAAGTCATGTTGTTGCAATTAATACTGTAATGAACGAGAACTTAACTGTGAGAAAACCAATTTATTATTTAATGTAAAATTATAGAGTGCCTTACATACATTAAATACATTATTAATACATCTTCCTTCAGTTGTTCTTCCTTTAAATTCCTGTTCTATTAAATTCAATCTTCTCAATATTCTGCTGGTAGGCATTCCATTTTGTGCTACATGCTACTTACATCTATCAACATAAGTAGCATAGACCACAGTACTATCATATGAACTAGACAATGCATGGATATACACTACTGGTTATTTCATGGATGATTAATTTTACTTTAAAAATCCCGATCATCATTATAATCAACTTCGGAATATTCCATTGAAACATATTTAAGTTTATAACAGTTTAAAAAATAATTAACTTACAGTTTGCATCGCGGACTGATCTCGACTAGAGCATCATTGACAACTGGATATGCTTCATTCTATTTTGAGACTTTTCACTAGTGAGCATCCATGACTACACCTAAAATTAAACCCCAGGATCTCGAATTTTCGTAGATAACACTCAATCTCTGGACCACCCTGTTGGGATTCAGTGGAGTAAACGTCTGATTTCGACAAGTTTTCGATACTGTGCTGTCATCTTCCATTGGTTGCTGTGAACAACTCTCTCAAATCCTGGTTACGACTTGTTACAGGGTCTGCATGAATCTCAAAGTTACTCATGAATGAGCACATAATTATTTTTGGGATAGTGACTTTTGTGAAGATTGTAGAGTTCTCATCCATGTCATGCGTAAGTCTATTATTCACTTTAAGAAACGAGAATAGTCGCAAAATATCGAGAGTTGATTAAAATTAAACATTCGCATCATTGGATATTAGATCAGTGGTCTTAAGGTTAATCGTTCATTCGTGGGACCAATTGACTTGTGTTCCGATCCTCAGTGCGGTTGCGGATACGTACTTTTGAGGAGTTCCTTACTGAGACAGGACAACCGTCCAGTACTCCTTGGTTGCGAATAATTGTCCAGCTAACATCGATCTGTGATATAATCTATGAAGATGCCAGGATTTCGACAACTTCAACTTTCCTGATTAATTTATACTTGTCTTCACGAGTAAATAATATGACTGTTGCTTAAATCTCGTGTCAAAATGTCTTTGTCCGTTAACTATAAATAAATATATCATTGTATTATGCATGTGGTAAAAATAAATAAAATTTTTAAATAAATTCAATTTCAGTTATTTACTAAAACCGGAGTTTATGCGACGTCCAGAGCGTCAATTTGATCCATTCTCTGAATCTCCAATGGATGGTGTTATTGCAGCTACATGTGAAGTGAAAATTATATCAGGACAATTTTTATCAGATCGTAAAGTTGGCACATATGTTGAAGTAGATATGTATGGTTTACCAACAGATACAATTCGTAAAGAATTTCGTACTCGAGTTGTCCCTAATAATGGATTAAATCCAGTGTATGGAGATGATGCTGTTTTTGTATTTAGAAAAGTAAGTTTATTATGTTAAACTTTTGTATAACGGTATTAGCATAACCGTAGTATTTATAGTAACTGATGATAGAAAATAAATTAATTGTAAGATAATTTAGATCATTGGTCTCTGAATCATTATTCTAAATAAAAATGAAGAAGGACTATATCAGACCGTTTTTGTTGTTTAATGCTGGGCATTCAACTGTTCGATCTTCTCCAGCTTAGTTTTTTGTTCAATTTTTTGTCTCGTTTTAACCAAAATTATGTTAATTGAAATCACAAACCGATCTAAAATAGATAGTCATTAAAAACCTGGAAGCACTTTTCTGCCATTCCGTCCTGTTATGGAACTCCTTGGCAGTGCACATCCACGACCCCACGACCTAGAATCAAACCTATGACCTTTGATCTTGAGTGTGAACACTTAACAGTTTCTCAGTTAAACTTTTGATTACAATTACATACATGCAGTCTCACACTACACTCTGTGGGTATATTCCACGTTAAACTATTGATATTCAGGATATCAACCATATTGAACACATGAAAATGCTGAGAGAGTTATTCAGTGTATAGTTGTTATTTATCCTTCATTATTTATTCAAAGAAAATTGAGCTTGATTGAGTTATACATGCGCTGATGCACCAACACCACCTAAGACATAGAATCTTACCAGAAACCTAAGCTGATGGATTTTTATATCAAGTCCAACGTTACTTATTACTGAGTGATTGACTAGTCCAGACGGTTAGATAGTATTGAAACTATTTAGTTTTAACCTGTAAGATCTATCAAAACAGTTTTTTAATATCTTAATTTTAAATAATCGGTTTTCAATTTTCGTATAAATATTTATCCAATTCTATTTGTAATTAGTACAATATCTAAGTAGGTTTTATTTATGCACTATACAATACGATAAACGTTTTAATAAAGTTGTACGTAGTAATACATTATATCGAGATTCTAACATTTTTGGGATTATCACAATTGTTGAGCAGCTTGCTGGATGTCTGACAAACGACATCTACCGCATGTACATTGATGTAGATGTGCTATCTCTCTACTTGTTAAATCGACTCTCTTTCCTAATAATGGCGGAAAAAGTCTTTTGAAAGTTAAGGACAAGTATAAACTGCTTTTTTCTGAATAAAATTGTATAAGGAGCATTAAACACGTTTTATAGAGCCACTGGGTTTTGAATCTCAAACGGCCTATAATAATGTAGTAACTCATCAATGAAACTTAATGTGGATAGTGTTACAACATAAATAGATTGGAATACGAAAATAAATGATTGAGTTCTGACTACTTGCAATTATTATTAATGGCTTTATTCAATATTATATTTTGGTACAATATACAATTCTCAGGTATCGTGCTCGTTTCAACACTTGAATAGCCTTGTGTTCAGTCTTGAAACAAATCAGAAATTCACGTCAATGAATGAACCTCAGTTACAGTAAACGAACTTTAATGCTTTCCTTGTTTTTTCAACTTTTCTCCAAATGAAGTTATTTCTTCATGAAAATAGTTTTAATGTCAAGTTTTCAATGAATTGTACGTAATAACATCATTTTCTATGTTTTAACCAACAGTTTAAACGCTTTGGCTATTGAGGTGTTATAATTCTTGTACAGAATTTCATTAGAATATTTTATATCTTGCTAATAAGCTTACTGAAAAATGGTGTATACGCCTAAGTACTTTGCGTCCAAGTAGTTCATTTCCTGAGAGTTAATGCCAACGTTGCTTTTTACATGTTTGCCATAAATTATTTTTGACTGAAATATTTTTATTTAAACTTTTCTTTATTTAGGTTGTTCTTCCAGATCTTGCCGTATTACGATTTGCAGTTTATGAAGATACTGGAAAATTAATAGGTCAACGTGTTTTACCATTGGATGGTTTACAAGCTGGTTATCGTCATATATCTCTACGTACTGAAGGCAATTTCCCGCTTTCTTTACCTACTCTGTTTTGTCAAGTATCACTTACAACATATGTTCCTGAAGGATTAAATGATTTAGTTGATGCTTTATCAGATCCTCGTGCGTTTTTAAGTAAAGAAGAACAACGAATGAAACAAGTAAGATTACTAAATATATTATTCATTATTGTTTGAAGATTCAATTTCCTTTACTGTGTGCTGTTAGATCACCGATTATCTTCAATTTTTATTCTTACTACCCTTCTTCAATCTTGGCTACTGTAACTGTATAATGTATATGAACCATTTTTAAAATTTATACATTCCGTAACAGATCATAGATTGTGTCAGAGCTGTTTATTTGTTTGTCTTAACTTTGTGACTAGATAATATTGTAAATTCTTTGTGTATTCTGAGATTTTTTATGCAAATAGGTAATTAAATGAATAAAACTATTTCAAAAATGAAACATAACATCAGTGGTAATAGAATATTGTCTCTTAGTATCACAATTTGACTAAATTTATTGATATGAACTATTAGATTCCGACTCATTAGTCTGGAGTTATACTCCAAAGGTTTTGGGCTTCATCTTTTAGAGATGTCATCGCTGCCTACTGCTGAAGTAAAAATTGAACTAGGATGAAATACCTTTCCATCGTCTCCCTGTCTACAATTATTTTTCAGATAATGAAAAAAACTTCTGTATGATTCATTAGTTGAGAGTGCTGATTACCGAACCCGATAAGGTTTTAATTCTTTTTATATAGACTGAATTTGTATAAGTTTGTCTTTTCCGAGGTAAAATATATTCTAATTATACAGTACATCACATATATTCAACAAATTCATAACTATGTATAGCTCAGTTATCCTTCATTTAATTGTGTGAGTTGGGTCTTGAAGCGCAGTAACACAGTACAGAGTAATTCATTTATTATTTATATCGTCATTGAGGAACGTTTTACGTGAAAAAGTTTAGTAGATTTCTTCCAGTATCTTATCACCATCTTTAGTAATAGGCATCGTTTTCTAATAATCATTTGCAGTGCAGAATATTGTATTTCACTCATTCCACTTCAGATTTATATATCAAATATATTAGTTGAAAACAATCAATATTTGCATGATTTGTGGTTTTGTCTGAAGCACGTAATGAGCATAACTGCTATGAATGTGGTGTTAAGTTCAGTGTTAATCGTGTTGATTGATAATGTCGCTTAGAACATTTAAACTTTCACCTTGCTTTCATACAACTATAATCTTGGAGAAGTATTCATTCTATTATGCAACCAAACTGTCAATACAATGATACATTTCCTGCTCGAATAATATCACAAAAACAAAGTTTTCTAACCAAATACAGAATGCTTTTGTTCGTTTGTTTTGTTTACAAAATAAAACCAACTTGATTAATGTTCTGTTGCATAGACTAAATATACGTTCAATCAAAAGTAAGAATAATAGAAAAAGTCACATTGTTTGTTTGAATAATTTTTCTGGTTAGCGTCTTTTTAGCGAGTTAGTTTTCTACGGAGTGGGGACGCTAACCCCACGCCCAACCCTCCTCCTTTATCCGGGTTAATATATATTCTGAAAACTAACTATATTGCAAAATACATTTTACATTGTTTCAACTTTCAAATTTCTTAGTTATTTGTAGTTAACGTTACTTATTTGGACTATGATTATATAATTACGTTCAAAAGCTCTATTCCATAATCCTCCTACCCTATTAATGTGTGATTATTTCTTATGTTTTCTATTCATTTTTTTAAACTAAAGTATGTTGATTACTTCCTTCCCGAAATATAAATTTTCGTTTAGCTCGCCAGTATGGGTATTGATTCATCAGAAATTGCTGATGTACCGTCAACTGGTGGTGGTGGTAACGCTAAACGTGTTGGGGGTGGTGCTGGTGGTGCCGGTGGTGGTAGTAGTAGTGGTCTAGGAGGTACTTCTGGACAATTAAGTGGTTCTATTATGTCTAATATTTCCGGCTCTGGCGAAACTTCAAATGTTTCGTCGAACAGTACTAAAAAAGATGAAAAGAAAGGTAATTGGAGTTTATAGTTGATTTGGTTTTTCTATAGTCTTTTTTTGTTTCCATATCAGCGAAGTAAAGTTACGTAATAGACTGTGTTCACATTGTTTTTCTTTACGTACACACTTTGTTTAAGTTGTTAGATGTTTATTTAAAGAAAATTTCTTGAATAAATTTTATAGTTTATCATAGATAAATGTTACTAATATAATAAATTCGATAAACTTAGATTCACTGCACACTAACTCCGAACTCTTTACTTGTTCTCTTGTCGGCTCTCTCTCATACTCTTCGTGTATGACACCTGTGACAAAGTAGACTCAATGAGAATTGGTGTTAGGTTTCTATATGTATGCAATTCTCTGTAATTGCATTGTGATTTATGGAAATTATTTTATTTGTATAAATGTATGAAAAATTGTAATTAATCAACCTTTATCAATCGAATTCTAATTATCATCAAGTTGTTAATACTACTTATTTACTCACATTTCAACGACAATATGCAGTGGTACCAATGATAGTAGTTTGGATGAAGCCAGATAGTGGCCAATCCGTTTCGTGGCATCAATTTATTAAACCATTGACTGTTTGTCTGAACGTCTGTTAGAAAGTGTTAACCACCTGGTTGTGAAGTCTTATTTGATTTAATGTATATTTGTTCTGATATTCACTAGACATACCTGAATTAATTTCTCATGACTTTTGTGTAAAAAAAACTTACACGGATGGATATTGTCATTATCTCAATCCCACATACAGAAATACCTAGTACTTTAATAAACACGCATGTACTGAACACTGCAGTAGCAAAATGTGATATGTTTCCTATTGAATATATTTTGACAGTGTTCACTAATGACAGTAGTTAGCATATTTATATAGTTCTAGGAATAATGACTAGTTAATGTTTTTAAACGCATTGGCCAGTGTCTTAAAGGATATTCCTGCACTGTTAGTCAATGCGATTTTAACTTCTATACAATGAATCAAAGTGACCTGCTATTGTATATGAGAAAATCATTGTCGGTAACGGAATAATTAGATTACAAATTAACATTTAGTCAATATTGCAAATGACTTATAAGATTTTACTATTGATAAAGTTTCTCATCCAGTTGGAACCCAGGTTCTGTTTCAACATGTAATCAACTGTTCATAACAAAAAACATATGCACTATGTTCATTCCAACAAATACTTCCGGTATTTAAATTTATTCCGTTATTATCCATAAATTGTTTATCAGTAAGAAGTATCACAAAATGATACAGCATTATTTATTGAATAACGCTTTGGATATAAATTAATGTGTATAGTTGTAATACTACTAGTACATACCTTTCCTTTCCATTCTTTAACCCAAGTAAATTAACAACATAAGGTAATAATTCGATCATGATTTGTCCTCGATTAAAGTAAACAATAATATCGTAGTGCTAATCTGAGCGCACGAGAACACTATTTTCGACCACATAAAGAACCAGAGTATGGGCCAAACAATCATTTTATGAGAACAAATGCAAGGATCTACACACCCTATGGAGACCTAAGTAGACGTTTGTTACAGAATAAGGATAATAATTTATAAAACAGACATTAACGAGTTTGCTTTTCTTCCACCTGTTACCGATCACAGCTCATTTTCATCTGACACTAATCGAAATGCGTTTAGTGTCATAGTACGTTGTTGTATGTAACGTAATATAAGCCAGTCGTCGAAATTGTCTGTATCTTTAAATATTTCACTTAAGTCCTTCATTTTAGGGTTTTATTGAATTTCAATTCCAAAGAAATCTAGTAGACCTTGATCCATTGCTCTAACTTAAGTGTTTGATCAATTTCTGTGAGTTCTGTGACGAACCTTCGATACTATTGGTCGTGAACGCGTTTCTAAGGTATAAATGTTCATCAAGGGTATCCTATAATTGAGAGTACTATTATGTATTACGTTAACCGTTCTCATATCTTATCAGGAAATATATTAAGAAACAAAATGAATGAGCATAGGATCATTGATATTCCTCTTATTAAGAGAAATATTTAATGAATAAGCGATGAAACATGCTATTGATGGTAATAAGAATGATAATAGCAATCAGTTCTTTAAAAATATATTATAAAATTAGGGATTACATTTCGCTTGTGTCAAAATAAGCATGTATTCTTAAAGATCTAAATTTCAGTCATTAGGTGTCACGTCTGAAATATGCAATATTGATAATTAAATACAAATCATGGCTAAAAATGTCTATTGTAATATCATAGAACAAATTGCATACAAAATATATGACGTAATTGATTGAGAATGCACTTAACCATGTTCGACTTTACTTTCCTCTTTGTATTGTTTTCCCCAATATCAACCTCAAATATATTTTGACATTTATTTTGACAATAATTAATAATAATAAATTGCATCCATAGTGGACTAATCAGTAATTAAAACTGTTTTCGTTTATGATAAAAATATAGTTTACTAATGAAAGTGTGATTATTCCTTACCAATTTAGTCATTGTTAATTTTTTTGTTCAACTTACATATATATTTACTTGTATTTAGATGATCCTAAATTTGATCCGATCTCGATCAGTTTATTACAAACGGATAAAATGTATCAAAAATTGATTAAAAAACAGGCAAAAGAATTAGAATTTTTACAGAAACGACAAGAAAAAGATGCTGTCACTATGTTACGCAATCATACAATCATCACAGATAAGCTGAATACAAGCCATGCTAAAGAACGTTCAAGTACAAAGCGATCAGTGAATAAGTAAATTAATGTGTTATTTTGTTTTACATTTATTCTTGTTATATTAATTGAACAATTTATGTAATTGTACATAGAGATGACAAAATATTGAATTGAAATTATTCATTTATGGTTACAGAACAGGTTCTTATCGTTGAATTATGTTTTTAGAGTAAGCGTAAAATTTTTATAATCAGCTTTACCTTGTCATTAAAATTAGAGAAAATATTAGAAAACTAATCAGTAGCAAAAAATATATAGGAGAATAAGTGAAGGCGAAATTCAATGAAAGACGATATGTTTTTAGTGCGTAGATTTTTTTCAAGGGGGTATGGGAGTTCTTGATTTTGGTGTCATAGTTTCATAGTTTCACCTTAGACAAGTACTGGTAACCTGTTTCGTTTTATTATGGGACTCCCCATTAGCGTACAACGTTGATTTCACCAGTGATCGCTTAGTTGTCAGTCCCACTGGGTTCAGATCAAATGATTTACATTCATAAGTGTGATCGGTCCACGATAATATACAACTGTCATTTTTTGGGGATGCATAATGTTTATCCCACATCTCACATTTTGAATAAAGTGGCAAATAAAATGTTTTAGCAAAGAAACAAGAGCAAAGTCTTAAGAGATTCTTTAGGAATATTTATTAGTGCGGGGATAAATGTATGGATCATGTATTACTTCCATTATATGACGTTTTATTGAGGTCTTACACACCAGTTTAGAAAATAAATAATTACGTTCTCATTATTTCTGCCTACATATATCATTAGTACAGTGTTGAAGTCGCTCAATTTTACAGTAGCAAATGAATGGGGAAATGGGTTAAATGTTTGGAGGTAGCTAGTAGGACATTCTTGACCTTGATTTCGTACTCATTGGGACTCGTTAGTACGATGTACCTGCAATTTCGGTGGAAATGATTCTTTTTTTGACATTCGACCACGTACTGTACATTTATGTTAACTGGCTATCGAAAATTACTCTTTCAGAGACATAAAAGCAGGAATCTTTAAACCGTTTTAAAAAGGGGCTCTAAAGAGAATTATGTCACGTTCTCTTCATTCTACAGCCGTCCTGGACAAAACATCAAGCATTTTTCTATTAGATCTGATGTCTATCTGGGCTTCATTAATGCCTCAGATGCCACCAACTGATAGAGCAGGATTCCCTCCTAGCTACCCTTCTATATACCGTCAGTCCCTACAATATCCTTTAAATAGCAAGCTATGGTTTTCTAATCTTGTGTGCTGAAAAATAGTTCTACATTTGACCGTCTGTCCCACTCCTTATCTATGTCTTCAGCTCCGAACTTGATTAGTTATGCAAATCATTGGATTAGATCCAGAATGAGGTGATTAGTACCAACATTCATAAATTTCAAAACTACCACAAAACACCTGTTCAATGTTCCTTGATTTTTAATATTGTTTTATTTCTGTGTTACTATGTGATAAAGATTATACATAAATCCGACTAATCTTCACAAAAAATACATAAACAATTTTCCTATTCTACTATAATATATATTTGTTTTAAGGAAATCTTTACTCAATAATCATTAAATAACTCAACTGCTTTCTAGATTCGATTATTATTTTGTTAAGTTTTCAAGTTATTCGATTTTCTTTTGTGGCTGTTGACAATTTAACAAACAAGAAATAACTTCTAGTTTATCGACTACTTATTTCCGGGGTTTTTTTCTCTTGGAAAAGTTTATTAGTTTATTGAATTGAATAGACTCAACTAATTTATGAAATAGTCTGTTCCCTTTACAGTAATTATACACTTTAATCATAGGTTGAGATTAGCTAGAATCACTATTGAAACGTAAAATATAAGTGGGATAACTGTTTCATTGCTTAGTCTCTGTCAATGAAATCTTTTTCAATAAAACTATTGACTTAACATTATTTTTGATCCAATATTGATTATATAAGTCAGTATAGGAAACATGTATATACATAACATTTGAATTTTTCTGCAGAATTTAGTTGTATACTGACTCAAAACATACAATTCTTAATATATATACATTCTGGTTGGTCAGCAGATTATATGATATGGAAGCATTCCCATTGTATGTGTATATATTTCTTGTTCTTCGGTCGTAATAAACTTGGTGTAATAATTTTTTTAAATTTAGCTATAATCATAATATTTGAATGAAATTAAAAGATCTTAATTATACGAATAAAAATATGAACAATGAATAAACATGATGCCTTTTTTTCACTTGGATGTTTTGTGGTAGTTACATAACCCTGTATTAATTATTCATTTAAATTATAATCATCGAGCATTTCAATATGTGAATACAAAGTCCATATTTCCAACCGTATATTATATATATGAACATACTTGGTATTGTAAATCCTGATAATGAATTCGTTGAGAAATCCTTTTTTTGTTGAATTTCGTGTGTGTTTTCCTAAATGCTTTAATAGAACTTCTAAACTTACTTACTGTAGTTGAATATAAAAAAACATGTTTAAGAGTGTATTTTGCAAATTGATCCCTAACCAACTAATTGATTTTTTAAACAATTAAGAATCTTTTCATATGAAATTCTTTCTCATTTCTCTCACTACTTTTTTTTTCGTCAGTCTAGTCAAAATAGCGGGTTAACAGCAAAGCGTAAATCATTTGGCTTCTCTTTTTCATTATAGAGCCTGACGTAAACTCTGTGTCGACATTAGTCATCACTTTTTGTGCCAATACAGCGAGAATAGTAATAAACAATTTTCTTTTAAAAAATCGTTAGTTACGAATAATAATGATATCAATAATAATGGGCAACTAATCATATTATATGTAATTTTAAAAGCAATGATCAACATCAGTAGTATCAATGAAAGTAGAAGTAATTTAGTGTATTCCAATAGATAATTTAATGTTTAAGTGTTAGCATTAAAAAAGAAACTTATTTGTAATACACATACTACCAGGTTTAAGTTAAATAAACCAGAGTTAATTTGATTCTTCGAAAGTCAAAAATCTAAATGCTTCTACTATTGAAAATTCATTGCTTACTAATATCAACGTTCTCTATCATATTAGCCAAGCTTATCTGTTCATCCGCTATACAGGATATTTTCAGAGATTGCTTGGTAACTTTCAAATGTAATGCTTATCAACCACTAATATTTAGTAACTTTGTATATTGTATATAAAACAAAACATTTTCTAACCATGGGCATTTACATTTATACTAGTTAATTTAACTGTATTTACGTAATCAAATATATTTTTCTTCGTTCAATCCTTGATAAGTAACAGTTAATTTTACATCACCTTAAAATGTCATGGTAGGAATCAATCATACAAAGCTTTCCTTGAATAACATATAATATTATTTTCATTTGTTACCATTCATTCAACAGTTTATTTATTAATTTATACATGGAATTTGATGAACATTAAATTGCAACTTTGTGATTCATGGTAACATACATGGGCAACAACTGATGGAAAATCTTTTTAGGATTGATTCTATCTGATGTTATGAGTGTTCATTGAATAATAGGCCTTAACTTTGATGGGATATAACTACTCAGTGCATATCGACTTTTAACTAATGTTCATCTAATATTAGTTTATAATGAAAACTATTTTCAGAATAATTATAATCATAGAATATTTCAAACTAATTTTTTTTTATAAATAAAGTGTCGCAACTTAAAAAACTACAATTGTTAAAATTATTTCTTTCTTCATAATTATTACTAACAGCATTAGTTGTCGTTCATTTTTATATTTATTGGTTGCATGAATATTCCCTTTGATGCTAAGAATTGTAATTGGTCAGTCTCTTTTGACATATGTGCATCCTGTACAAATTATGTTAGCTGGGTTGTAGGTAGTCGACAGGAAATCCTATCTGGGCTAGGCGTATTTGTAATTTTGATAGGATTAATATTCTTTGGTGGATTCGAATCCACAACATCCAGCTTCACTGACTAAAATGTCATCACTGAGTTGTTCAGGTCGTGATTGATCTCCTGTTTGATAGATTTATTTACCATAGGTTGGTTACCTCTCAGTGATCAACCACTTATATAAAGGTTTTTATTGATCTAGAATAGATGGAAAGTAGTCATTATTGAAGCTGATAATGCGCTTTCCGTCCTATTTGCGAATTGTCGGTTGAATTTACCTGTATCCCAGAGTTGATGTTTGCTCCAGTACTCGAACCCATTAGTGTTCGCTTTAAGCGCCGATGCGTTTCTCACTTAACTACTGAGTCCAAGTAGCCAGTCACTTGTCAACAGGTATGAGTTTTTATTCAATTTGAATTGACTTGGATTGTTCAACTGTTGATATTGTGATTAAAATTTAATCAGCTTTAGTTGGCATATGTCCATCTTGTGGGCATTACCTCAATAAAGTCATTATGACACAAGTCAACATAATAATAAATAAAATGTGGCTAGTAGTGGCTGTCTGGCTACCTGTACTGGGTTAGAGTCCCGGAGTAAACATCATTTCTAGGATACAAGTACATCCAATTAATAACTCCCAAACAGGACAAAACACACATCCTATATTTTACTACTAGCCACATTCTATCTATTCAATGTTGACTTGTGTCATAATGACTTTATTAAAATATTGGGCACAAGATAACCATATTACTAACCAAGGCTGATCAAATTTCAATCAAAATATCAACAACTGAATAATCAATGTCATTATAAATTAAATTATTTATCACATAATCTTATTACTATTAACATGATTATTGTCTTTTTATTTCATCTCCCAGATAAATGTGTCAACGCATGATATAATTTTATTCTAGGTAATATAATAAACATTGAACATTAGATGAATCTAATGTTGATTGTTGTTGTGTGTTTTTTTCTGTCTATGTGTCTTATTTTAATGTACATTGGTATATTATTGCGTGCTTAGAACAAATGATTTGAGATTTATTTATTCATTTACTGTTTTTTTTTAAAAAAATATATTTTGTTCCACTTGATGATCATTTTTAATGTTTACGTGTGTGTTTGT